ATCCACTGCTAAGGGGAGCATCAAGGAGACAGGAGAGGTCTGCTGTGTCCTGTGGGAACTCCCTGGCCAGGAACTGAACTCATGCTACAGTGGCTGCAGACAGCTTCACAGTACTGAGACTTATCCCTGTGCCAGCATGGAGGCCCAGAAGGCTGTTCTTGCAGGTTTCCAGAACTCCAGGTGGGCTGCCATGCCAAGACCTTTTTTTCATTTCTGGACAGGAAGTCAAGCTTGCCTGCATGTAATCTGCTGCTCTCTTGGTCCATGGAAATACCAACCTAATAGAATCGAAGGGACTGGAGATGCTGTGCCTCCTGTGTTTACCCAGTAAAGGTGTTCACATGGCTCATAGGAACTCCAGCCATTCCAACTGTGGTTGCCTCTAGAGAAATCAAGTGAAGCTCTGCCCTCTCTAATCTGAGGTCCCTACCATCGTTAGGTGGCTGACAGTTATGGTCATGTGACACCATCAAACATTAACCTGCTGCATATATTGGTTCTACCACTCATCAGTGAGAGCTGGCAAATCGCTGGCAGGCCAGCGTCTCGGCAGGCAGGGCAGGGCAGGGCAAGGCACGATGACAGGGTCCCAGGGTCCCCGCCTGCTTGTCCTGGGCCTGCTACTGTGTGTGCTGGGACCCCTGGGGGTCCAGGCTGGGAGGCTGTTGCTGGTGCCCATGGACGGCAGTCACTGGCTGAGTATGCTTGGGACCATCCGGCAGCTGCACCAGAGGGGCCACGATGTCGTGGTCTTGGCTCCCGAAGCGTCTGTGCTCATCAGAGAAGCGCCCTTCTATACCTTGCGGAGGTACCCAGTGCCGTACCAAAGGAAAGACTTGGACAGGACTTTTAGGAATTTGGCACATGGTGTGTTTGAGAAAGATACTTTCCTGCGACGTGTGATCAAAACGTACAAGAGAGTGGTAGAGGACTCTGCCCTGCTCCTGTCCTCTTGCTCCTCTCTTCTGCACAACCAGGAGCTGATGAGCTCCCTGGCGCAGAGCAGCTTCGACGTCCTGCTCACAGACCCCTTCCTGCCTTGCGGCCCCATCGTGGCCCAGCATCTGGGCCTCCCGCTCGTGTTCTTCTTGAATGCCCTGCCCTGCAGCCTGGATTCACAAGGTACCCAGTGCCCCAAGCCACCATCCTATGTACCCATGTCTCTGTCCATGAACCCAGACCACATGACCTTCCTGCAGCGGGTGAGGAATATGCTCATCGCCTTGTCAGAGAGCTTCATGTGCAATGTGGTTTATTCCCGGTATGCGACACTTGCCTCAGAATTCCTGCAGAGAGACGTGACTGTCCGGGACCTTCTGAGTGCTGCATCTGTCTGGCTCTTCAGAACTGACTTTGTGGTCAGTAACCCAAGGCCCATCATGCCTAACATGGTTTTTATTGGCGGGATCAACTGCGCTCACCAAAAACCCCTCTCCCAGGTGTGTATTGGGTGGAAGCTTTCCAAGCTTTGTTGCAACTACTGGATAGAGGACCGTGGCCCAGGGAGAGCCTGCCCTGAGTGAACTGAGAGAGTCTCCCTGCCTGTTTGTTTCTCTCTGGCCAGTTTCCCAGGTCTTTGTAATTTCCCGGATGTTGTAATTCATGTGTGCCTTGGCACCATCTTCCAGTTCTTTCTGGAGCAGAGGCCTTAGCAAAGAGTACTTCGTGCATGTTCTTCAGGGCACTCTGAAGCACAGCCTATCTTGAAAGCAACAGGGTTAACTGTCATCGGCACAGGAGTGCAGGGGGCTGGGTGCGGGGTTCCTGCAGGAACGTGGAGCATGAGCCTAGCCCTGCTGAGACCGCCAGTGCTCAGCTAATCATGGCACACAGGGCCTTGGAGCCGGCAGGGACGTTGCCTCCATGTTCTTGGTTAAAGGTCCCTTCTAGAGTTTCTGAGAGGAAGCTGGATCCTGCAGTCACGTCTCTTCTGATAAGGAACCTGACAGCCGGGTTCCAGCGGCGGGCAGAGGCCACGTGCCTCCTGCCCTGCATTGCACGTACGCTTGCTCCCCCCAGGAACTTGAGGAATGCGAAAAAGTAGTATTTGCACGATCTTCTAGATTACCAGGTGGCTGGCAGTCGAAGCGCCTCCCTCCGATGGGGGCTGGGAGGGAGTCCCCGGGGAGGCGGCCTTTCCACGGGCATCACCCAGGACTGCGGAAGCCCTGCATGGGGCTGAGTGTGACTCCCCCCGTGATGGCCACATCTCACTTCCAGTCGCCTTCCGTGAGCCACGTTTTAAAGGATCATGTCATTGTCATGACCTGGAGACAAGCTGGGGGGCAGAACGAACGCCCCAGGAGAAATCATTGAGGGTGGACGTGGCATGACCAGACCGAATCTGGGGCTCAGATTCCTTCCCATGATGTGAGGGGAAGTCTGAGGGCCCCTTGCAGACCGCCGGGCAGGTTCTGATGGCCTCGGGCCCACTGGCCAAGGACAGGCTCTCCTTGGAGCCAGTGCGGGTTCAATGACAGGCCAATCATGAGGGCAACAAAGTGAGTCACACACGTTTTTGATCTCGGCGCATCACCAGGTTGTGTGTCTAGTCCACCGTGGGCTCGTAGGTGTGTGCCAATGCTCGTAGCATGATGCCAATAAAGCCAGGCACACGCCGTAACGAGCTGTGACTCAGCTCACAGAGCGAGTACGCACTGTTGGGAAATGGCAGCGGCCTCTTTTCCTGTCATCGCGCGCGGGTCATCGTAACTGTCTCCTGCAGACACGTGAGCGCAGGAGTCACTGCGGGAGGTGCTGTGTCCAAGCACCTGCACGTGTCTGCAGGTGACCAGTGTAAATACCAGCGTTGAAGGCACACAGGGCATTCGCCAACACTGTCAAGTGAATGGGCAGGAAATGAGGGCATGGACGCCGGAGCCCGGGAGGCCGAGTTCCTAGCAGTCTGGTATTCTGCTACTACCCGCAAGCCCGCGTGCCTGTGTGGAATACCCGGTTGCTTCTGTGGAGCAGGGCGATCCCAGGCCCTCACCCCTCCCTTATAGTATATTGTGCGTGTGGCTCCAGTTGACGTCCCATCTGTTTCTTTGACCTGCTTGCACAGTGCTCATGGTTTATATGTGTCCCGGGATGGCCGTCACCACCTGAGCTGCACCATGTGACTCCAGGGCTTTTGAGGCTGCTGTGCTGTTTCTTCAGCCGTCCCCCTCACTAAGAGCAAATCCTTTGTAGTCTTCTTTCTTCTGTCCACTGCCCACTCATCCTTCCTGCAGTAGTTCACTCTTCCACCTGCCAGGGGTGTGCTCCTTGTCCACAGCTGTTGCTAGCTGGGCATCTCTTCACGATTCTGCCACCCAGCCAACATGTTGATTTTCACCAGGCAGCCACCTGTCAAAGGAAATTTGATTTTTTCTTCTTGTAGCCAAGTGAAGAGCTCAGTGTTGTGGACAGCAGTGGGGTCTTTAACTCGGGGGAGATCTCGCTTGGGGAAGGGGGTTGAGGTCAGGGCTCGGGCCCCTTTCAGCCAAGGTCAGTGCGGAGTGTTCGCAGTCAGGGAGGGTTATGGGGTGGACCTTTGCTGTTGTTCCTGGGCCCGCTGGCCTTTTCCACAGCTGACCCCATGACCTGGGTGTGAACCTCTGTGCCATGAAACGCTGCCAGGTGCTGCTGGTGAACTTTGGCTGTTTATGATCTGTGGGTTCCGATAGTGTGATCACACCCCGCTGGTGCTGTGGGTGTGGGGGCGTGAAGGAAGGAGCTGGAATCCGCTTTTCTAGACAGGATCGAAGTAAGAGGGGCTTCTGAGAGGAGTAAGGGCCCAGGGTCTTGGGGAAGCTGGTCTCCGAGACGAGGGAGCGCAGGGCCAGGAGG